GGATAAGTTTATTACATGGGTTGGTCGGATCACTTAGAATTCTTTGGTATTCCTTAACAGTTAGGTGTGCCCTTCTTTGTTCTAGCGTTTCAAAGTTGCACCGAGATGTGCCGAGGATTTTGATGCATCTGTTTTGAATGCTCTCTATTTTATCAATGAGATATTGTGGTAAACCACCCCATATCGGAGCTGCATATTCTAAAACAGGTCTAATCTTGGATTCATAACATGTAATACCGACCTCAGGAGGAAGATTCGCCCTACGGCATTCTCTCAGACTAAACATTCGTTTATTTGCTTTCCTTACATTGTTCTTAACATGACAGTTCCATTTCAAATTGTTTTGATGCCAGACACCCAACAGTTTATGAGAATTTACTCTTTCCACTACCTCGTTTCCAATGAGCAATGGTTCTGGTGCCGGTATTGCTGTGTTAAAACATATCCACATATCTTTTGTTTTCTTCGAATTTATCGTCATTTTGTTCCTATTAGACCATTCTTGTACTGCTTCAAGGGCCTCCTGCATATGGCTGGATGAACCTTGTGACACCACTTCGTCCTGTGTACAATCATCCGCGTATTTGCATATGTTTATGGATAATCCATTTGGGATTGAGTTCTCAATATCGTTAATGTGAATATTAAAAAGAGCGGGGGACATCACAGAACCTTGTGGCACTCCTGCAGGACAAGGTTTGACCGATGATAGGGTTCCTGCTAGTTTGACTTGTTGTCTTCTATCTTCCAGAAAACTACGCGTCCATAGCCAAAAGGCTTTGGTTACATTCATTTCTGCGAGCTTACGAAGTAGAATTCCGTGGTCAACAAGGTCAAACGCTTTGCGAAAATCTATGAATAGTGCATGAACTCCATTTTTGGCGCTAAGAGTATTGTCGGTCACATTAAACCAGTTCTGCGAGATGTTGGTGAGTGCGGACACGGTTGATCGTTTGCTTGTAAAGGCATGCTGATTATCATTTATACGTGAACTGGGAAGGTTCAGTTTGAGCTGCAGCTTTTCCAGCACTTTAGCCATTTGGGGAAGAATGGATATCTGGCGAAAGTCATTCTCTATATCTCTTGGTGGATTGACCTTCGGAACTGGGATAACTAAGGCGTGTTTATACGCAGTTGGATATTCACATTCTTTTATACTGGCGCAAATAATGTCATGAACGATGGGCGCTAGTTCTTCACAGTATCGTTTAAGCACCCATGCTGGAATCCCATCGGACCCGGTGGCTTTTTTAGAGTTTAGTTGTTTCAAGGCAGTCTTAACCTGTCCAATTGAGGGAGTAGGAGGATTTTCTTGCCTCAGTGATGACGCTACGTTTTCAAGACTAGGGATTATGGTTTCAGGAAGTTTTGACCATGGTTTAGTAAATATATTCTGCAGTATTTCCACTGTATCGGGAGTGCTGTCTGAGATTAAGTTGTTGTTTAGATTGTCACCTTCAAAGCCAGCTAACTGGGATATCGTTCTATGCCATTTTGCTGCATCGTGTTTGCGTTTGCTTTTGACCTTAGATGAATAAAATTCTGCTTTAGCTTTCTTGATAAGTGTAATGATCTTATCAGCCAATTGTCTATATTTGGTCATGTTCCCCGTAGTATAGGCTTTTTGCCTCGCTTTAATCTCTTTTTTGATATAAGCCGTCATCCATGGCTTGTCAGACGCATGGGTACGTATCGTGGTTACAGGTATTGTTTTATCTAATATGTCTATCATAGTATTTGTAAAAAGACTAACTTTGTTATTGATATCTCGAGCCTCAAATATTGATTTCCAGTCCTCAAGGTTTAATTTTAGGCCGAGTGCATTTAGGTTACATGGTTTCGTTAGGCGCACTTTTCGAGTAGAAGGCTTCACGGTTTGTCTTGTTTTGGGACTATACAACAAACATTGATGGTCAGAGCGACCAACTGGAGGCAGGTGCACCACTTCTTTATATAAATCTGACATGTTCGTTAGTATTTGGTCTAAAACTCTGGTGCCTCTTGTCGGTGCTTTTACAGACTTCTTCAAGTTAAATCTTCTGCATAGTCTACTCAGCTTCATTTGATTGAAGTCTCCCATTATGCATACACCAGCAGACGGGTAATCTCGTAAGACAGAATCAAGTCCCCTAGTAATATACTCAATCAGTTCTCTTTCACTTTCTGCCGACTGCCCTGGGGGGAAGTAGACGCCAACTGCCACTATAACGCTAAAAGGCCTAGGGGTTCTGGGGGGTTTAAGAAGCAGCCATAGGACCTCTCTGTTATCTTCTTCTAAATTTTTAGACATGTAGTTGGTATACAAGCGTTCACATATGCTAATACACCCCCTCCTGGTGTAAGTCGGTCCCGCCGATAGGTATTGAACATTCTTCCAATGCTTATAGCAGAGTCGGGTATATTTGTATTCAGCCAGGACTCTGTAATCATAATCAAGGAGGGACTGTTCATTTCAACAATAGCGAATATTCCGGCGCCTCTGATTACATGGCATCTCCCGTTACACAAACATAAATAAATGTTCGTATTTTTTCGAACATGGAGGTTTAGTGTCGATGCTATTCTTCAACAAAGTGTAAAGTATTCTTGCTGAATTACATGAAATAAATATAAGGAATGTTCAATGTTGTAGTGTGCAGGAGGCTCGACGAAAATCTCGATCTTTGATGCAAATTAAACTACTTCAATTAAAAGTACTTTTTCTGGTATAAATACAAAGTAAGTACTACAGAACGAGGTCAGTGCAGTCAAAAGTCCTTACCGACATAACATGTATCACACTTGCAAACACCGCTGTCCATTGGTACTTGCTTTCCATGTGTACACGGGTATCCACAATCGGCCCCCATCCATCCCAGACTGCAGTTCGTGCACCGCGGTGGGTTGAACGTCGCATTACAGAAACCTAGAGGTCAAACAAACAATTAAAAAATAATATATTGTTTCTTGGTACACGTTTTTCGTTGCCTTGTTTATAGATTTATATTTAGTCTGTTGCTTTCCTAGTAGCTGGACGGACATGTTGTGTTTTGTTGTTTTGTTTAGTACCAATTTACTTATTCGCTATCAAGCTGCAAACAAAACAACCGGAACTACTGTAACATTTTGTTGTTTTGACGTCGTAAGAACAAGTATTTGTAATGATCACTAGTTGGCGTCCTACCTCTGTCCAGGCAGTCAGGATTTCCAGGACAATCAGGGATCTCACATCCATCCCCAGTCCATCCACCGTCACATGTACACTCGTGTAGTGCACTGTTACATTCCCCACGACCACTGCAATCCTCACCAATTCCTGGACATCCTGGATTATCACACAATCTACCTCGCCATCCTATATCGCACTTACACGACCCTTGAATAACCCGGCCATGTCCTGAGCATTCACTGTCGCAACCTAAGCCAGCCCAGCCGGCTTCACAGACACAGTTACCGCTATCCATAGGTCGTTGAACACCGTGAACACATGGATCATTACATGCTGGTCCCATCCAACCCGCTGTGCAGTTCTGACATACTGGTGGGCTTACAGAACTGTTACAGTATCCTTGATTGAAGCAGTTTGGAGAACCAGGACAATCTGGTATTTCGCAACCTAAGGAAAACAATTATCTATAAAACACCTATTCTTCATAATTTATTACATTCACGATATGACAAAGTTTCTAGGAAAATGGATTTCACAAAACGTCTTGAATACACTGAATGAAATCAATTTAAATTAATTTAATATAACCAAGAAAGAAATAATTCAACGGCCTTTTTCTTTCGAGAAAGGAAATCAAATAAACAAATAAAAAGATAAAGGTAAGTAACTAACCTTCCCCTGACCAGCCATTATAACAAGTGCACTTGTGTATAGCTCCGTTACAACTTCCATGTCCTGAGCAATCTTCATTAATCCCTGGACATCCCATTATGTCACATAAACCTCCTCTCCATCCTACTGCACACTCACATGTACCATTATTGATCTTACCATGTTCTGAACACTCACTGTCGCAGCCAACGCCACTGTAACCATGGAAACATACACAATTGCCGCTGTCCATTGGTATCTGTAGACCATATGTGCAGGGATGATTACAGGCAGGTCCCATAAAGCCTCGAGTGCAGTTTACACATCGAGGGACGTCGAGGGACGCATTACAAAAACCACGTCCAAAGCAGTTAGGTGCCCCAGGACAGTCTGGAATATCACACGCCTTGCCTGTCCAACCTTCATAACAAGAACACTGATGACGTGCTGCATTACAGTCCCCGTGACCACTGCAGTCCTTATCTATTCCTGGACATCCTGGTATTTCACACACGTCACCTCGCCAGCCTACAGCCGGGTCACAGAAACACGATGTATTTGATTGGCAGACTCCTCGTCCTAGACATAAGCTCGTACACCCCTTTCCTCCGTAACATGGATCACATTGACATATACCACTGTTCATAGGAAATTGCATTCCATGTGTACATTGTTCACCACACGCAGGTCCCATCCAACCTCGCGAGCAATTAACGCATTTAGCACCCTCGGGATATGGAATACACACGCCACGTGAGTTACAGTTAGGTTCACCAGGACAATCAAGTTGACTACAGTCAATACCTTCCCATCCTGGATTGCAATAACATTTCTGTAATGCACTGTTACATAAACCATTTCCTGAACATACAGGAATACCTGGACACCCCCCGCGTTCGCAATGTGTTCCTTGCCAATACCCCTCACATTTACATGTTCCATTAAGACACTGCCCATGTTCACTACACTCGCTTTGACAAAATTTCCCTGAATAACAGCTATCACACTTACACACATTATTCTCACACGCGCCTTTGCTTGAGCACAAGTGCTGACATTTCTCCCCACTATAGCAGGAATCACAAACGCATTTTCCTAAGTTGTCGCATACACCATTACCACTGCAGTCACGTTGGGGATCACAAAGATGCTCGCATCGATACCCTACATAGCCACTGTTACACCTACAACCTCCTGACTCCGTACACTGTCCATGACCTAAACACGTAACACCAGGATCACAGTGGTAGGAACAACTCACACCATGATAATTGTGATCACATGTACACCCTGTGCTTGACCATACCCCATGTCCACTGCACTCGTTACCAGAAAAGCAGATCTGTCCATCATCACCACGTACAGCTCCACTTCCAGGTGCACTACCGCCTTCAACAGCTGTTCTGTGTCCTGATGGATTGATGTTCTTTAAATTAGAGAGTATTCCTCGGTTTATGTACCTTGGGGACTGGGCTCTAATGTAGCCCCCAGCTCCTCCGCCATGGTAATAATCGCATGCACGATATCTGTATCTGTAACCACCACTACCACCTGCTACTTGCATTGATCCATGACCATCTATCGCTTCACCATCTATCCATACACTTCCCCCGCTTCCACCACCGCCACTTGCACCACCATTAACTCCATTTGACACCAACAGTCCCTCGTGATCCACCAGGTGGCTGCTAAACAGACGAATAACACCACCTCCTTTACCACCGGAGCTGCCACCGCTGCTGCCAGAAAGTACTGGATTACACACTTGACCATATTTTCTACCACCTGGAACGAGAAGATGATTAATATTGGGGCAAACATCAAATGATGATTAATAGATCGCGTCAAATAATTGATAATAGCTGCTATTATGCTTTGTTTTCTATATTTAACTCAATTTTACTCTCTCTAACACAAGAGTAATTAAATGGCAATGGTAATTTTCTCAGCTAGCCTAAAAACACTTTGCATAAGAATGTCTGGTGAGAAAAATGCTGTGCTTTGTCTTAATCCTTTGTTCACAAATCCGGCAGCTTTGCATGTTCTCCTGTCACTTGTTGTTTTTAATTTTTTTAAATTTCCTCAGACAGGAAATAACAGTTAAAATCGGGGAAAGGGTTGTTTTCAACTGTGGCAGAGCTCTTCGATAGTTTTTAAGGTGTTTATAATATTCAAGTTTTTGGTATATAATTGATCGACAAGGTATGAAGATGAGCTGGCTAAGAACGTCCTCACGGCAGTCGATGCGAAACCGTCTGTATTGGTGTGAATAAGACGATGTCCATGGCGACGCCGCGGTAGATGTACAGACGCACTTCATCAAACCACTGTTATGTTTCTCCCAGACTGCTGATGTTCTGTTATTAGCATTTTATTTTACTGGAGCATTAGAACCGTGTGCGTGTGCTTTTCGGTAACCAACGTATTATTTAAATTATCTGACCAAAAACGGACTTACCTGAGGCATCATTACTACCACCACAGGAGCAACCTGCTCCGCGTCCTCCATTCCCACCATGCCCGGCGCCACCTCCAATCCCCCCACAACTTGCACCAGGGCCCAGGCCAGTTGCTGTAGCTCGGCCAGAACTATGGAATTTGGCGTCATGATCAACTTTGATGTATTTTGAAAACATTTCAATTGCATCACTTGTTACCACTCCGTTATATTCCACGGCAACAGTGCCAGTATGTACCTGCACTGCTCTGTCGACATTCTGTACAGCGGATATGACTTCAAATTTTCCATTAGCCTTTACAGTTATCTTTTTAAACCAGTACTTCCGATCCAGTCCCGTTCCGGTGTATTTGCTTGAACAATTGAAGCAGCCTGAATGACCACTTATATGTAACTGCGCATGACTTGAAGCGTACAGCCGCAACTCTCCTATACCGTAGGAACCCCCATGTATTTCCAAACAGGGCGAGCGTTTTGCTGCTAGTTCTGTAAGCTCGGGTAGTACTAGCTCACCTCCTTTCCTGATGACGTAATTTACCATCGTGCGCATGCGTACTGTGTCTTCATGAGTATAGACACGTGTACCAGAAATAACGTCGAAAACTCCAGTACCATCACCAGAGAAGTAGCGAACTTTTATTTCAGGTATGCTGTCAGATATCTGAAGAAAATACAACAGAAAAAATAATCCCTTGATCGAAAAAAGTCCCAGTTTGCCTACGTTTCAAATTAGTTGTTAAGGAACATGGCTTTGTGTCTCATGAAGTGATGCTAATAAAACACAGTTATCCCTTCGATAATATCTTCATTAATAGTTCGAATATAGAATTATACATGTGGTCAACATACCTGTTGTAAAGATACAAATGCTTTCCTTGTCAGTTCCATCTCATCAAACACATGATAATATCCACCAAGTTCATCCAAGAACACCTTTAGTCCCGCAGTTTCTTCTCTATTTCTTCCATCTATTCTTAGGACCCTCTGTACTGAAACCCCATCCCTGACTTCAATGTATGTCGTTCCAGGCCCTCCAGAAGGTGACCCAGCGCCACCAAGAGCGGCGATAGCTCCTCGGAAATCAAATGGTTGAGAGAGATAAATACCAATACGGCCACCAGAACCACCTCCAGTGCTTGAAGATCCTGCATACAAAAATTTTGAATGAGGTTGAATGAGAAACAAATAACATTAGTACATTGCTTATTCAGCAAAGTTCAAGCTTCTCCTTAATTTACAACAATCGAGTCTTTGATTAAGGATTAAAGATGTCATCTTGTAAATATGCATTACAGACTTTCCTTAAGTTGAACGTTCAAGGTCACGGAAAAGTAGTTCATTTTTACTTGAGAAAATATAGTCTACCATGATACTTTTTGTGTGTGTTGGTGTTATGTCCTCAGGTGAATACGATGTTACTCTGAGTATGCATCCACAGTGGGAATCGAACTTGCGACTTTTGGGATACCAGTCCAAGGCACTACCAACTGACCATTTGCGTAATAGACTAAATTTTTATCTAGACAAATATTTCATCACAGCTTCAAAGAGCATCACAAAATTAGTAATATTCCAAAGTTTCGTTGCGAAATGTTGTAAAATGCGGATAATATAGCCTTGCGAAGTTTGCAATTTTCAGTCATTTTAGATTACACACGGGAAATTGACAGCCCGATACGCTTTGAGGCTGTCAATTTCCCGTTTGTAATCTAAAATGACTGAAAATTGTAAACTTCGCAAGGCTATATTATCCGCATTTTACAACATTTCGCAACGAAACTTTGTAATATTACTAATTTTGTGATGCTCTTTCAAGCTGTGATGAAATTTTTGTCTAGACTTGTTTAAATCAAAATTTTGTCTATTACGCAATTGCGCTATGATTCAAGTCGGTCCGAATTGGTGATATTCCGGAACTAGTTCGGTAGTTCCTTCGATATCAATGTATTATCAAGATATCATACTTTTTGTGTGTGTTGGTGTTATGTACTCGGGTGAATATGATGTTTGTGATGTTACTCTCAGTATGCATCCACACCGGGCAAGCTGAAAAGTTTGCCTGACCACGGTCGGAATCGAACCCACGACCTTTGGGATACTAGTCCAATGCTCTACCAACTGAGCTACGAGGTCAAGTTAGTTCGAATTGGTGATATTTCGGAACTGAGTCTAATTCTTTCGATATCAATGTACTCTAAGAAATCATACTTTTTGCGTGCGTTCGTGTTATGTACTCAGGTGAATATGATGTTTGTGGTGTTACTCTGAGTGTGCATCCTTAATACATTGATATCGATGGAACTAGACTCATTTCCTAAATATCACCAATTCAAACCGACTTGACCTCGTAGCTCAGTTGGTAGAGCGAGTGAACTAGTATCCCAAAGGTCGTAGGTTCGATCCCTACCGTGGTCAAACAAACTTTTCAACTTGCCCGGCGTGGATGCACAAACATCATGGTCTACCATGTTAAAGTTTAGAAGTTCATTCTTTAGTACTGACTAAATCCAGTTGTTTAAATCAAACCTGAAACAATTATCAATTTAGCCAAAGAATCCCACATTTATGTCATTCAAGAAATTCTCACCTCCATGACTTGCAAGTTGCCCATAACCAATCAGAAGCGACGTAGTGATGGTTAAACTACCACCACTTCCGGCACCATATCCGGTTGCACCATTAACCCTCAATGCACCATCGACTTTTACGTATCCACCAGCTGTCACATTTATCCATGAACCACCAGCACTACCGCCACCTCCGCTGCCTGGATAACGCGGTATGTAGAGGGATCCGTAGTATTTTCCAGTACCAGCGTTTCCACCAAGGGATCCATAACTTCCACCTTTAGATCCAGAGCCAGCACCAGGCCCTTGAGTTGCAGAATATCCACCACCGTCTCCGTCCAGACTCCCACCACTTTCAATCACAATTCGGTCCAAAATAAAGAACATTTCACGTGTGTTGACTTTGAACAGTCCACCTTTTGAAATTTAAAAAATATCATGTGAGTACTTTTGCAAGTAATTACTAAATTATAGTTACAGAAATATAATTTGATGTGGAAGGTCAACGGAAGGTTTTGTTTATGCATTGGTTGCCTAAGCTCTGTGTGTGGTAATTGAGGTATAGAGAAATAGCCAAAGTAATAAGTTGAAATAATGCCTAAATGCGATCTGTGCCAGTATGGGTAGTGATGATAATAAGAAAGCTGTGGATTGTCAGGAATACAACACCCTGCTTGTTTTTTCAAATAGTGACGTTGAATCAATATCAATCCGCAGCAGTATTGTTGAATTTATTGGTTAATATATGATTTGCTTTACTTCTGTCAATTTTCAGGTCATTTAAAAGTCGACGCTCTGCCAAAAGTCATGGGTTTTCTCCAGGTACTCTGGTTTCCTCCCACAGGGAAAGTTGACAGGGTGGGAAAGGTAAAAGGGCCCACAATAATTGGCATATGCTGTTGTGGTAACCCTGCCCTCGTTGGCAAAGCTAAATAAATAAATAAATTCCGTTGATACCACCTTTTAAGCCTGGTTCACATATGCCTGCGGTATGCCTGCGCTATCATTGTTTACAGCTGTTGATGCGTACATTCTTTTGTGAATTATTTGATTGAATTGCTAATAACAATAGCCTGCCGACATACCGCAGGTACATGTGAACCAGGCTTTACTGTATATCATGTACTACGAAAGGTTTTGTTTATGCATTTGTGGTCCAAACTTTGTGTGTGTTTGAGATGTAGAAAAATAGTCAAACTAATAAATTGAAATGTGTGCCAGTGTAGGGATATAACTACCTGCTTGTATTTTTCAGGGAATAACGTTGTATCCCTACCAATCCGCAACAGTATTGTTGCATATATTGTTTAATACATCACTTGCTTTACTCCCGTCAATTTCAGGTCGTTCCTACTATTTAGAATGCATGATACACAATATAAGGCTCGTTTAAAGGAACTAACTGAAAGTTGACCGGAGTAAAGTAAAAATATTAATACACTATGATGTTTGTGATGTTACTCTGAGTGTATATCCACACCGGGCGAGCTTGAAAAATATGCCCAGCCACGGTGGGAATCGAACATACGACCTTTGAAATACTAGCTCAAGCTCGCACGGTGTGGATATACACTCAGAGGAACATCACAAACATCATATTCACCTGAGTACACGACACCAACACAGAAAAAATCATATTAATACACGTTCAAGTAAGTGAAAAAACTGCATTATTTCTCGATATCGAAACGACAAACAGAGCTTGGGCCACTCATGGTTTATGTTTTTGCAACGGGTTTGTTTTGAAGCAATAAATAGGAGCCTTAAGCTTTATTCTCTTTGGTATAATCTTTCAATTTTATTGAACGAAGACAGAAATTTGTTCGTCGTGCCCAAGCTCTTTTCAACATCAGTCGCATCAGTTACAGGTAAACTACGTGAAGCGTTCCTCTTTTGAGTTCCTAACTCATTTGGAATTTTCAAAATTAGATTTGCAAATTTGAAAAACCCTTCGCAAATCCCTTGAGGGAATTTGCAATTTTCCTGTCGGCCGTTGCAATATTCCAACGCAAAGAGAGTTCCTTTCAAATTTTCCTAACTTCCTGTTTTAATTTCCTAACTTCCTGTTCTGTTCTGAGCGTTTTCATTGGTGGATTATTTTTGTTGGTTAATTGCAACGCACAGAACAGAACAGGAAGTTAGGAACTTGCAACAGGTAGTTAAGAACTTCTAACAGGAACTGAGGGAAATTTATTTTGCTCTTAAGAACATTGCAAATTCCCTCAAGGGATTTGCAAGGGAGTTTTGCAAATTTGCTAAGGTAATGACGAAAATTGCGATCAACTTAGGAACTCAAAAGAGGAACGCTTCACGTAGTTTACCTGTAAGTGTATTGTAAAATTTTGAAGCGGCTTTCTTATAGTAACTGTGGTTATTTTCTCCTATTCCTTCACAAACTCGGGTCTATTGCCCGCAATGCTTACCTTTTCTTATGACAATATCTGACGCTATGACTTCAGCACGATATGGTGTAATGGCAACAGTGAGAACACCATCATTTGCCACAACCAGTTCGGGAATGACAAGTTGACCTGGAGTGAACGGATCAAATGGCCGATCATTATACCATCGCGCATGCTCCGGAAGTTTAGCTGTATGAGCCGTCCCACTGACCAGTATATTTCCATTTCTTTCTATTACCAGTCTCTCTACGCCAGTAACGCGGCCTCGCAAGGTCGTAGTTTCCCCTCGCAGTATCACTTCAGTTGGAAATATAATTTCTGAGAACTCGCTGATGTAGAATCCACAGGGAACATCTAGGTACGTATGGGTACTTTCAACAATAAATACAAACAATCTTTGACGTGATGTCATCTTTATGACACCAGTCTTGTCCCCAGTCACTTCGTGCGCGACTACAGTGACATTCCGTGCTCCTCTTGGATGATAGAAAACCACGTGAGACTTGCCTCCCACTTGCATTTCATCAAGCTCGTAGAACAAAGTTTCATTTTCCATAACAACGGCCGGCCAGTCTGAATCTCGTCCTTCGTTATCGATCTTCAATTTTGAATGTTCAGGTTTGAAGTCTGTGAAGTTTCCATTAGGATTGTATTTTATTTCACGATATTGCGGGCCACGACTGCTTTCATATTTATATACAGTCCCTGCGCCTCCAACAAGAGTCTTGGAGCTTGCTTCTCCTCCAACTGCCCTGTACGTCCCTCCATACTTGTTTTTAAAATCTACGTGTATTCCAATACGTCCTCCAGATCCTCCACCACCCCCAGATATCCCATTACCACCATTGACATTTATCTCACCATGTCCACTCATGTTTAAAGCTTCAATAAGAACAGTACCTCCGCTACCTCCTCCTGATTGGGATTTCCCACTTTGACCTTGAGCTGTGATCAAGCCATCCAGGTGTAAGTGGTCTTGTGCTTGCCACCGGAGACTGCCGCCACCTTGAGGAAACAAATAGAAATCATTATTCCGTGGCATCACTAATGCGCACTCCTAAACAAAACAATCTACTGTTCTCTCCTTTTATTCATATAGTTTGTTATATATAGCCATTTCCCGAGTTTGCAAGATTGCAATTAATGGACCACATTTTAAGCTTCGAGTTCATGGTTTTGTTTTATATACACACCAGCAAATGCGGGACGTTCTATCGTAAAACAGACTTCAACAATACAAATATTATATTAGATCACCCTCATACATGGCTTCACACCGGGCAAAATATTTCAGCTTACCAGTCATTTGGAGTTGTGTCATCTATTATATACAATATACACAATCTTTAAAAATATTATAGTACTAGAGTACCAACCTTGCCCACCAGCTCCATATCGTCCAGCCCCTCCACCACTTCCTAGCATCAGAGGTTTCAACACTGAATCATACGCTTGTCCCTGATTACCACCATTTGTACCGCCACGCCCACCATGACCTCCACCTGTGCCATAATTCCCATGTCGATAACCTTTACCAATTCCAGTGCCAGACTCCCGGCCTTTTCCATCCAACACCAACTCTCCTTTAGTTTCCAGGTCCCCAACGGATGTATACAACACACCATGATTCATGAGCACTTTTCCTTCATATTTGATTTCAAATAGACTTGACGTCACTTGAATTATGACGTCATGCTTACGTAATAGATCGAGGATGCCACCTTTCTTGACAATGATATTAGCCAATGATGTGTTTCCTGGTTCTGTGACGTCAATATAAGTGCGGTTCTCCAGCAAAGCAGTTTGCGCTGTGGACGATATTCGAACGCGGCCGCTATCTTCTACAAAGAGATGATGAACGCCTGTCATGAGGCCGTGAATTTCCGTCCGCACACCATTTACGTGAAATTCGTACGGGAGAACCAGTTCTCCGAACTGATCAACCAAGTAACTGCATGGTGCTTCAGTACGGTTATTCTCTGATTCAACATATTCAACATATATCTTTTGGTGTTTTCGTATGTGGAACTGTCCAGTACCATCACCAATAAACCTAAGGAGGTGGAAAACGAAATAAATAAGTTTCTAGCGAACACATCTTCTAGCTTGAATAATTTGAACCGCATTTCTGTTTATCGCATAGTCGTTTTTAAAGACCGATATAACTTTGTTCATTGTATGCATAGAACGGCATGAAAAGGCTCGATAATCAATCGCTTAGTATATAACATTTAACGTGTACATTAATTAATAGTGTATCATTTATTCTCTGACATAAAAATAAATCGACAATGATTGATTGTTTATACGAGGGTTGTTTATATTTAAAATACTGAGACTGGCTTTTAATTTAAGATGTTCAAAAAAAAAATTAATAAATGGCTTAAAAACGCCCCCCTTATGAAGCAATCGCTCCTATTAACTCAAATGTAATTATAGAGTATATACAGTTGTGAATTCGTTCTAGCGCCGCTCCGTTCTCATTAGCAAATCGTAGGCAGTGGACAACTCGAAAGCATTATGCTACTTTGTCCACTGCGCACGACATAATGAATTATTAACTCCAATTTATATCTATACTACTCACCATAACCTTATTACTCTTCACTTTTGTAAATAATCTATATGACGTGCGCAACTTCAATAAAATTGTAAAAAATTGTAAAAATTGTAATATAATCATTAGCTATAGTTGAGCAATGATAAATTATTTACCTGTGTACAATTACAGTTATATTTGTCATGTTATCTGGTTGATAGACTAGCAATCTTGATTTTCCGGTCAACTCCATCTCATCAAACTCATATTCTGAAGTGTTCTCTTCCCTCAACAAAGTTGCTCCAGGGACATCATAACCAGCGTTATCTATATGAACATATGTATGATCCACAGCTAGGTATGTCGTATTCCTACTCTTGCTGTACTTCAGTTCACGGTATTGTAAAGGTCTCAAATTTTCTTCTTTATAAATAGTACCAGCAGATGCGCCATGTTTTCGTTTATTCCCCTGCCCCCCATGATCAGAAAACATGCCGCCATAGGTGTACCTCCAACGACAATGTATCCCTACTCGTCCTCCAGCACCACCACCACCTTCACCCTTTCCTTTACCACCCACAACGGATATCTCACCATGGCCTGTCATGTTGGTTGATTCAATGAGAATACTTCCACCACTACCACCACCTGCATTTCCACCATTCCCATCTTCGCCATTGGCTGTAAGAAGACCGTTAAGTTCCAGGTATTTGCTGATTTTCCAGATAAGGTATCCTCCCCCAGAACCTCCCGTTCCTTGGCTGTTGCCTCCTCCACTTCCCAAATGCATAGGTGTATACACTGACCCATACGCCTTTCCACCGTTACGTCCACCAGTACCTCCATACCCAGCTCCACTTCCAGTTCCCCCAACATTCATGCCTGCCCCTGGTCCCTTCTCTGCGGGGAAACCAACTCCGTCCAAATTTATCACACCTTTGCTATCGAGCCAGCCATAAGACGTGAATATCTCACCATGATTAATAGACATCTCGCCTTCGTATTTTACGTTAAGCTCGTCGCAATTCAATCGGAGGAAGTCTGTAACCCGACGGAAATCTACGTCACCTTTTCGTTTCACCACAACATCAGCGAAAGATAAATTCCCCGGCTCAGATAAAAATACATAGGATGAATTTTCAACTAAAGCTGTTTGAGTAGTAGAAGTAAAGTCAATCTCAGCACCACTTGAAACATACAGACGATGTACTCCAGTGATACGTCCTTCAACGATTGTTCGAGTGCCATGAACATGAAATTCCGAAGGCAGAACGATTTCTCCACCATTGTCAATCTTATAGCTGCAAGGTGCTTCAGTTTTGTTGCTCACAGACTCTACTACCTCAACAAATATTCTCTGTCGGTCTCGGATATGAAACTGTCCAGTTTTGTCACCAATAAATCTATGAACAGTCACGTTAACTACGGAGTTATTAGGATGATACACTAGCAATCTGCTGTAGCCTGTCAGCTCCATTTCATCAAATTCATACAAAGTAGTATTTTCCTCCATTATCATTGTCGAGCCTTCAACGTCAAAGCCTTCATTGTCCACGTGCAAATACATATGATCAACAGCCAATACACTCGTATTCGTGGTCTTTAAGTATTTAAGGTGGCGGTACTGTAAAGGTCGAAAGTTTTCCTCGATGTAGATAGTTCCTGCAGGAGCACCAATATTACTGTGTCCTCCATGATCCGTCAACTTTCCGCCATACTTATACCTCCATCTACAGTGTATACCCACACGTCCACCTGCTCCTGCTCCACCAGAGCCCTTCCCTTCCCCTCCGGCAACTGCAATCTCACCATGTCCTGACATGTTTGTGGTCTTAATTAAGATACTTCCACCGCTCCCACCACCAGCATGAACACCACTACCGTCTAAACCATTCGCAGATAACAAACCATTTATCTGTAAGAATTTTCCAACCTCCCATAACAGGCTGCCCCCTCCAGCACCACCCACACCTTGACCTCTACCACCACCACTACCAAGAACATGGGGTGCATAAACAGAATCATACGGCAACCCACCATTAACACCAGCACCTTCACCGCCATGACCAGCCCCACCAGCAACACCATTTCTAGTCACTCCCTTACCTGGTCCTTGCTCCTCTGGAAAGCCCGTACCATCAAGCATCAATACACCTTGGCTTTCTACCCAAGCAAACGAATTCCGTAAAATACCATGATTTAGTATCATCAAGCCTTTATACTTAACTCTAAACAACCCACTATTGAGTATCAATGTATTATTGACTTTCTTAAACACAATTTTTGAACCACGTTTTACCAGAACAGAGCCAAAGGAAAAGTTTCCATTTTTATCAATCCTCAAATATTCTCTATTCTCAACTATCGCAGTCTGAGCTGTGGATGAAAATTCAATGACACCACCAAGAGCAATAATGATATCGTGAATTCCCGTAATCCTACCGTTAATTTCCGTACGTGTTCCGTAAATGTATACCTTCGAGGGGAACACAATTTCAGCGCCTTGGTCAATTTTAAAGCTACATGGAGCTGTAGTTTCATTCGTCATCGACTCAACAACTTCCACATAAATTGTCTGATTTTTGCGCATGTGAACTCGTCCAGTTCCGTCACCAATAAAACGATGTACGACAACAGTAACGTTAGGGGAATTTAGAGGATGGTCAATCTGCAGATTTGCATAACGGGTTAAAAACATTTCATCAAACTCGTAATACTCACTACTGTATTCCACTAGACTTGTTGAGAATGTAGTTTTTCTATTCCAATTGTCAACCATAATAAACCTGTGAGTTGATACACTTTCAGTCCTGTTTATTTCTTTATTATATTTGATATCAGCATACTGGGGACCACGTGCAGTCTCCTCAACGTAGACCGTCCCTGCAGCACCATATACCCCACCTGATCCACCATATGCTTCATATATCCCTGCGAACTTGTGTTTAAATCGGACATGGATTGCAACCCGACCACCTGCACCTCCTCCTCCTTTACCTGTTCCTGATCCTCCAATTACATTCACTGTTCCATATCCAGTTATATTTGTACACTCTACCAATAAACTTCCCCCACTTCCTCCACCAGAGTCACTTCCTGTACCATCGATCCCTCTCATTGATACGAGACCATCCAGTTCTAAAGTCTGTCCAATACGCCAGTGTAAGGACCCACCTCCCCGTCCTCCAGTACCACGACCATTTCCACCACCACTACCTAAATGATCAGGTCTAAGTATCGATCCATACCACCCCCCAGTACGATCCTCATTTGATCCACCCTCACCACCGTGACCAGCTCCAGTACCGATCTGTGATGATGTAATACCTCTCCCAGGTCCAGCTTCACTGCCATACCCAGTTCCTTCCAAAAGCACCTTGCCACGGCTCTCGACCCAAGCCCAAGATGAATCAATGTCCCCGTGATTAATACGCATTTCTCCCTCGTACTTTACGCGAAATATTCCTGCAGTTAAAATCAAGGTGTCATTTATTCGGGAGAAGGAAACCAGAGAACCACGTTGCACGATTAAAGTACCAAACGTAATATTTCCAGGGGTTGTAATAAACGTAAATGTTCCATTCTCTCGTGTACCAGTTTGTGAAGTTGACGCGAAGGTGACGCTAGCACTCTCAGCGATGTAAAGTTGGTGAACACCAATAATAAAGCCATCAAACGTGGAACGTGTACCGAGCAGTGTAAGTGTTGAAGGAAACGTAATTTCTGAACGTGAATCAATTTTGTAGCTCACAGGCGCTATTGAGTAACCTTTTTCGGATTCAACTACTTCAACGAACATCTTTTGTGTGGGGCGTAAATGGACCAAACCTGTTTTGTCGCCAGAAAATTTATGTGCTAGCAACGTAGCGTTTTCTCCTTGAATCCATAACACTACATGATTTCGTATTTCTAACTCGTCAACTTCGTAATATTTTTCAACTTCTTTCTCAATTAAGGTTGGTATATGCTTATTTCTGTTTTGATTATCGAGGATAAGTTTAGTAAATCCTTCGCCAAACACGGTATTATTATGTTCATCAATAGTGAAAGGTCGATGCGAGAGTCCTTTGTTCGTATCTGTGTAATAAATTGTTCCACATGCACCGGCAGGATTACCAAGGCCGCCCAGAGCCAAATACGTACCTGGTCAACATAAAATATAACGATGTGAACATACACCTAATATGCGGAAGATTCGTATGTTAATATTTTTTATCATGAGTTTAAATAGATAAAGCTTCATTCGTTTGAAACACGCTGGCTAGTTTCGCTACCATGCTTTATACTAGGAGTTACTATAGCAAGTGAAATGCTGCCTCAGACCAAGTAGGTAAATTGGTAGCGCAAAGTTTTGGGTAAGAAAAATCATGAAGAAATGGAAGCTGTGGATTAATTGTAGAATACCCCAACACTAAACTGGCTACGCGGTTAGCGAACTTAAGATGCACCAAATCTACGATGCGGACGCGACTCTCTTGACATACTGTACACTGACTGACAATGTATTGTACAGACTTGTGAAACTTATTTATGTTAGCATTTGCGCAACATTGCTCTTCAATACCACCATTATTGGTGATGTCAAACATGTTTAAATATTCCTGTTGGTTTATTTCATTGTGGGGCTGTGACACTTGTTTTGCCCGCTTTTGTTTTTTAGACTCCCTATCGTTTTGAAGTCTTATTTCTCTTTTACTCTCAGTTTCTATTGACCGCTTTCTTTTTTTAGACTCTATCATTTCGAAGTCTAATTTGTTTCTGGCTGTCAGTTTCCTCTGACCGCTTTCTTTTATTATACTCATTAGCTTTGTTAAGTCTAGATTGTTTATCACATTCACTTTCTAATGAACGCCTGATTTGTTGGTATTCTTGATCTTTCATACTCTTAGTTTTTCGATCAAAGGTTTTGCATATATTGAATTGCACAGGTACAATTTCAAATGAATTGGTACGTAGTTCCATTGACAAACAATACACATGTTGTTCTAACTCTATAATATTAGTAAATGTCATGACAACAGCTGTGCCATTAGGATCAGGAATGGCACTTGAGTCTCTGGCATGTGAGTCGAAAAGATAGAAATTATCTGTTTCTTTCATTAAGGCCATCATATAACCTTCTAGTATCAAAATAGCAAAACAATCATTTGCAAAAGTATTCACAAGTGCTGTGTGAATATCATAGTAAAAAGACTCAATCTCTCGATCTGTTATAACAAGATCTTGAAGTTCTTTTTCATAATTAATATACCAAGTTTGGTTTATATTTTTTGCCTTGTACAAAGACAAATCAATTTTACTTGGTGCCACAATGGGCTTCACCACAATGGGTAAATCAATGTTATTTTGAACCTCAATAGGCTGCACCACAATGGGTTTCACCACAATGGGTGAATCACTAGCTTGTGCCTCAATGGGCTTCACCACAATGGGTGAATCACTAGCTTGTGCCTCAATGGGCTTCACCACAATGGGTGAATCACTGTTGGCTTGTGCCTCAACGGGCTTCACCACACTCGGTGAATCACTGTTAGATTGTGCCTCAATGGGCTTCACCACAATGGGTGAATCAGTCGTATCTGTCACCCACATAGGTGATATTGTTTCTGAATGTGTAGGTAAATCAATGTTATTTTGTGCCTCAAAAAGCTGCACCGCAATGGGTTTCACCACAATGGTTGAATCACTAGCTTGTACCTCAATGGGCTTCAATACAATGGGTAAATCACTGTTAGATTGTGCCTCAATGGGCTTCACCACAATAGGTGAATCAGTCGTATCTGTCACCCACATAGGTGATATTGTTTCTGAATGTGTTGGCAATTCAATGGCAACACCATTTTCGGTAACTTGTGCCTCATTTGTCACTCCAGTTATGTTATTTTGAACCCCAAAAGGCTCCACTACAACAGGTAAATCACTATATTTTGGCGATGTAGTTATATCTTCATCTGCAGTCTGTACATGCGTATATAAACGCGAAACTGTGTCGATCATTGATTGACATATCTCGTACGAAAAGTCGTTCGACTGCTTCGACATGTTTGTACATGTACTAATAACTTTAGGTAAACGTTCTACTGACAAGAAATCTATACCTGGATCTAACACTATAAAGCCAGTATTAAGCGCTTTCAAGCACAATTTGTCTCCTTGTAATAAGACATTGTTAAATGTTATCTTCGACCACGAGGATAATGGAACATTTCGGGCTGTAAGAAGCGCCGATAAAGACATAAAAGCACATTGCTTACCTCTAGAATGAACATTAAAACGTTCATCGCCTTGATGAAAATCAGCAGAAATAAATAAAGACATAGTTAGGCCAATTAAAAATAATTTTCAGTTTTTCATCAGAATTTTTGAAAAACGGGGGGCGGGCGGGCGGATTTTAATTTTTTTTATTATTTATTTTTTAATAGCGTAAGTAGTATATTTCCCCTTTTATTAAAAAACGGATTAAAAGGTTGTCTCCCATTTCACACATTTTGTCTACGCAAGAAATAGTCACAGTCAAGAGCCATTTTAACTTCTACGCCTAAATACGAGACCATGTTGTACTCTGATAGCGCAGAACTGATGCGTAATGAAACATTTATTAAAGAAATAAAAACATTTAATAATATGAACCATAAAGTATATGACTAATAATTTACTGAACATAATTTTATAGCCTTTGTCACTTGTAGCCAAATTTCAAGTTTTTTTAAACTTCTTTCTTGATGATCGCTTCTCTGGTTTGCGAGTTTTCTTGCACTCTTCACATAGTGGATAGCTTTCGGGATTGGTATTAAGATCGTCTTCGTCGATCGAGAGGAAAGGCATGTTGAAACAATATGGCCGCCAATGTTCGGTTTCCGACTACTTCCGACCAATTCCGATTTAATAATAATAAAAAAATTATTCCGGGCGGCCAATTTTTCAGGGGCGGGCGGCGATGAAAAACTGAAAATTATTTTTAATTGGCCTTATTCCAGAAAATGCTCGTTTCTTTAATTCCTTTTCAACATGGAAAAAACATGCGCACGCAATTAAAGATATTATCCGAATCCCCCCCCCCCAATCTTCGAATGTACTGTTCCCAGGAATTACGACAATCAGACAGACACAAGATCGAGATTCGAGTTAACATAGATCCGCGCGAAAGACTGGGTCGAGTGAGCTCTGGCTAATCCTCAACAGGCGTCAAGAATAGTGAATTACTGGCTAGTTTCACTATTAAATTACACATTGCCTCCTAAGCAATATAAAATACGTAAGTCTACAACGTAAGAAGCATAGTACATTACATCGCAAGAAGCATGCAAAACAACTATGGAGATAAATACAGCCTAAGACTTAAAAGGATAAAGGCGTTTCTACCTGCATATTCCCTTAACCACGAGACATGGACTGCCAATCTTCCTCCAGCACCTCCACCGCCGCTCCCCTGGCCATCTCCTCCACTCACTTGAATACTTCCATGACCAGAGAACATCAACGTTTTGATAAAAATGCTTCCACCACTGCCACCACCGCTTCCTTGACTTGAAGCATTTCCCCCATTGTTGTCAATCACGCCGTCAAGATGAAGAAAATGACCACATTCAATCTAATCATTAATTAAAAACGATGAAAGGAAATTTATTTAATTCGTGTGATCAGAACCCGGGTAAACTATTTTAGGCACTCGTTCCTAGCAAGCCGCATTCGTGAGTTTGAACAAGAGAACGAATTTCGACGACGAAGACGTATTCACATTTTTTATGCGCAAGGTAATGTGCAGACGTGCAAAAATGGTCAAGTACGTCTTCGCAATTCGTTGTTTCGCTCAAGTCTCTAATATCACTTAGTTCAACCGTCTTGACCTCGAGGTCAGTTGGCAGAGCGTTGGCATCGCAGGTTCGATCCCATTGCGGTGAAGCAATTTAAAAATTTTTCTGCGTAGTGCACTCGGAATTGCGTTGTAAAGTATAATCTCCAGTTTGCTTTCCAGTGTGGACACGTCGCGTTTTCATAAAAATATCATTAAGAAGAAGAATCTAAATAATAACAAGTTTGCTTATTACTAGTCGAACATTATTTCGACAATATAATCATCTTGTGTTTTCGTTTTCGACTATATAATAAGCATGTGCAAGAAACTATCAAGAGTTACGATGTTCCGTTATTCCCAAAGAGAAAAGGCAGTTCTAAAGGTTTATGATGGATGATTGGAAATTCACTTAAATTGTCAGTGACTGTCTCTCTCATATGCATGAGCAGCTTGCAAACTGCGCGGTATATTTAATTGTTCGATTATTATTTAATTTTCTTGTTCTTATACATTCAAGTTAATAGACAAATAATTAAAATCTACCTTAATAAAACTTCCACCACGCCCGCCTTGAATACCTCCACCCTTACTCCCAGGATGTGTAGGTTCACTATAGGATCCATATGGATTACCACCTCTTTTATCCTCATAAAGTCCTCCATATCCCCCGTGACCACCACCAGAACCTGATCCTTTACTATCGTTCCCAGCTCCCAGGCCTGGGTCTTCACTTCGTGCGGTTGTGGTAACCCTTCCTTCGCCTTCGATATCAATCGCTGTAGATTTAATGTAGAAATATTTTGCTGACATCAGTGTTTTTTGACGCATGGTAAAATACCCAATATCCAATTCTCCACCCTCGGTAAACACCAAATTTGCATTATATTCTAAAGTCAACATCCCGAGATTAATGGCGACAGCCGATGAGTTCTCACGAAGTATTCCAACAGTGATCGAACCAGTTTTGCTGACGTGGCAAACTTTAGAGTTACTCAATGTAAATTTGGTAACGCCCCTGATTGTACCACGTAAATCAATCGCCGGGGTCTTATCTCCGCTAATACGAAGATCATTGACCGTGATTAAGTCCCCGCGCTCTTCTATAAGGAAGTTGACCTTGGGGTTTGATCTCTTGCTGGTAGCTTTCTGATACTCCATATAGAAAGTTTGGTTAGATTGAACATGAATAAGTGGGGAGCCATCTCCGTACATCAAACCAATATATACAGACGGATTGAAGGTTTCATTTTCAGACAGTGTTTTAATTTTAAATATGGCCTAGAAGAAATAAAATGGATGTCCTTTAACTTTGTGGTATCAAAGAAATATTCTACTGGGGCCGGTTGTTCGAAAGCCGGTTAACCTAGGTTAACGAAAATTTCAAAGCAAACTTCCCTGAAACTTGTTTATAAACATGTAGATAGTTTTCCAAAATTCTTGTCTGGTTCAATCGAAGTTTTATTTTCCAAAGTTTCGAACTAAACAGAAGTGCAGATGTACCCAAACCAAGACAGCGGGTTAACTTTTAACCAAGGTTTAGCGCTAATCCAGCTTTGAACAACCGTTCCCAGGTAAATAAAGTTTTTTACTTGTCTTGACATTAAGCAAAACAAAAACGAAATAACCAACGTATAAACGTGCGTATTTAGAGTAAATTTGTCTTGAATTTCTTTTTAATAATGGTTCGTTCTATAATATACATCATAATTCATAATCCACTCCAAGTCTTTTTAATTGTGATTTTAAAACATCTCAAAAATGGACAGTACCTCAAACATATTTTTTGTGTTTCATATCGCCATAACAAACTTCATCTCGTTTATAATATATTGCCTGCTTACCTGGTTAAGAACCATAAATTCATCAAAATGATAATCTGTCAGCACACCATCAACACGTTTGTGATAATCTTCACGAGCGTTCCTTTCATTTAACACAAACTCCTTAACTGGTACGGCGTTATTATTATCAATATACAATCTACTGTGAATGTATATATCTCTTGATTCCTCTACGTAAACAGTGCCGGGTCCTCCATGCCTGGAACCATCGCCCAATCCACCAAACACGGAATATGTACCCCGGAACTCGTCTTCTTTTCTCATATGTACGGAAATTCGTCCCCCTGCGCCACTGCCCCCTAATGCTGAACCATGTGTGTTACCAAGACCTCCACGGCTAGTTATTTTGCCATGCCCTTTGAAGTAGTTTGTTGAAATCCAAACGCTACCTCCACTTCCTCCGCCATTGCCTGAAAAAAGAGAGCGGAAAGATACTACAATCAGTGACAAAACACATGGACCAGTTAGGCTGAGATTGTAACATAATCATCTTCCCCCCTGTTCAATGTTGTTAGACTAAAATTGGCATTTTATTTGAAGTAGTTTTGTGCTGTATTGCGTTGCGATAACTCTCCCAGAACACACAGCAACATTGAAATGGGGGAGGATGTTTTACATGTTATTTTTGCAATTGTTACAAAAATAGTCTTCCAATCTGAGTGTCCCACATTTCAATGTCACTGATTGTAGTTTAGGCCAACGAACATTTGCAAACTGAGAAACAACCAAGCAAGCAGAAGGGCAAGCAAGTCGGAGAGGCATGCTAACAAACATGCAAACGAAGAAAGGCAGCAAAATATAGAAAGAAACAAATAGAAAGAAATTATTAGGATTTTTGCTTATTGTGGCATGCTAGTACTAGTAGATACACGCAAGATGAAAGACATTGTCAGGAGAATTCGCTCCTAACCTGACCAACGATATTTCTATTTCTCAAAATTCTACTGCTCATTTGTACGCGATTTTTAAGGACACCTGCCCCACTGACACCTGTCAATGTATATTTTTTGCAAAACATTGAGACAGTGTGATTGTGACATTCAGGGGAAGAGATTCTAATTAACCATTAAATAATTTTCTCAACTAGTATGCGCAAGATTGCAGCACGAGAATGTAGCACGAATGCCGCTTCCCAACCAGTTCTTGCCATAGATATCTTATATACACTAGATAGCGCATCTCTTTTAGTAAAATTGAAGCCAAGAATATTCCAGCGGTTACCCCCATTTGAATAGATGGCGGCCATGTTGAAGTTTTCCACTCGCTAATAAACGCTTAAAAAACAACAATAACTTTCATCATTTGAAAATATATTTAAAAATGTATTTGGAATAGTTTGAAAATGTATTTGGAATAGGTTTAAGTTAATGTTTAAGTTCCCTGTTTAATTAAGAAATAGAAAACATACGAGTTTTCTCATTTCATGGGAATATCCTGAGTCTGCAATCACGGCTTCAATTTTGAATTGCAGAATAATTAGATGCACTATCTAGTGTATATAACATATCTATGGTTCTTGCGCATGTTTTCAGATATAAAAATGAAAACTCACCAGAATTTTCTTTTGCATTATCTGCATCCACATTAACGACACCATCTAAATGAAATGAATGTCCAACAATGATCCTCATTACTCCGCCACCACGAGCGCCAAGCACGTCACTAGGTCCCACTCCTCCACGACTTCCAGCAGTAATAGGTTCATATAAGGACCCGTATGTTGTTCGCTGCTTCCGATTATCTCTAGTTCCTCCAAAGGTTGCGTGGCTAGCGCCAGATCCGCCATCGCTCCCATTCACTCCAGCTCCCAGAGTATAGTGAATGAACCCTCGACCTTTCGAGTTGATTTCAGCATCAATTTCCAGGAAGAATTCTGTCGCTTCAATTTTGAAGAGCTCAGCGTTAAATTGTGATTTGTATTTCATGTCCTATTGTTCAAAATAAAACAGAAATGTCCAATTAGCTTAGAGGCTATTGGCTAACACTCGCCAAATATATATCGGATATTAGACGGTTGCGACGAGATATAGATTTTATGTTCGAGTGGCAAAAACAATATTTTTGACACGAGAACATAAATCCATATCTTTTCGTAACCGTTTAATGCTCTGTTTATTATATCGACTTATTCAGAGTGACAAAAATACACACAAAGACGACATGTAAATAAGCACGCCAAAGACCAGTATAAAAGCGATATTTTTTAAAATTATAGTGCAAACATAAAACTAGAATACATTTTACTTATCTCCAAGATGTCTTTTAAATATTTTCGTTTTATTTCCAACGTTAATTTCGTTTTATATACGAACCAAAGACCATTTGTATTTTCAAAACAACAATGAAATGAAATGGTGGTAAATTTTCGTATTTCACTAGCAGGGGTGAAATACGGAAAATACGCGCATCTGGTCCCGGATGTAGTGACGTATGAGTTCTACGAGTGCTTTAGTTTCCAGTAAAACACCATTGTCCATATAATAATAATTAGTATTGTAAAAGTGATGAAAAGCAGTCGCGCCATTCTAACAAATTTTAGTCTTTTTGGATCCGATTGTTAACCATTTACAGCTAAACTAAATCCTACTCACAATCTGTAATTGACACTATCCCGTCTATTCGCCAATTCAAGACGATGTTCTAGCTCTGGATGATCTAACGAATACTTCCTAGAGTCAAAGAGCCGCACTTCTACCTTCTTTAGTGAGTTTGGCAACCAACAACGGAGACGTCAGAAAACAAAATTTATACTTATACTTTTGTATTTGCATGAGCGAAAACAGACATTATAACTAAACTTTTAAAAACACTTGTCTTTCTGTTAAACAACCCTGAAATTCCCTGAAGTAGCAATAGTCTAGGACCTGTATACGAGTTTGTATGCATTTCATTTAGCACAGGTAATTTACTCTCAACTGTTTTGGGGTAAAATGACCATGGCGGTCAACATGGCATATGTGCCAAAAGCTGAATCCGGGACAAAAGTCCTGAAAATGACCCCGCCCTGAAACGGCAGTGTCGACATAGCTCTAACTTCAGAAAACAAAAAGTGATAGTCTTTCTGAAGTGCTTATAGTGTTTAGAAGGGTTGCTTTTAGGGGTGGTCATTGGAAGAAAAAATTTGTCTAAGTATAATATTTTACAAGAAAATGACCATCCACCACCCCAGGTAACTGGCTTATTATGCATAAAATAACTAATATGCATGGCAGAAATTAAATATTCTTATTTCCTAAAAAAAATTATCATGGGGTGAAAAACTATGCTTAATTTAATATAAATATTGTTGATTTCATAAGGATTGTCATTGTTTTCTTTAAATGTAATACATTTTATTTCACTTACCCCCCACGAAAACACGATTTCAGCCATATTTTGCCGTCTTGTTTGCTTTTATCGCCGAATCTCGCAAATATCATCCAGTTATTGTACTTTTACATAATCATAAATGGCTGAAGAAGATTTCAAAGAAGATTTCATCCACTTTTGAAACAGTGCAGTGTATTTTATCTTCGATATTGTGTCCTTCGATATTTCGTCAAATTGCCGCCATTTTAATGGCTCGCCGCTTCTCTGCCCGATGAATGCCACTTCTTCGTTTTCATATGTATTTAGATTACATTATCCAAGAGTACTTCATTGTAGAATAGTCCCAATGCAAAAATTGGAAATATTATTTGTACTTGGGAGGAAAAAACCTCCCAGACAATTGTCCTGTTAGAATTCAAAAGAAATTATTTAAAAGTCACGCGCAAGTTCGCGAAAACACCTCGTGGGTTACATAACAGGGGGTGAATATTTTCAAGATACGTTTGTTCGCCACCACAGGCCACAGCAACCTAACTACAGTAAGTTATTATTATTATATTTATATTTATCCAGGATACCCACGTCACCGAAGTGTTTTTCAGTGGGGTCCTGTATTATAAATTTCAACTCAATATACATATGCATTACAAAATAACATGCAAATCTACAATAACATGCGTTAACATACTTATACTATATATATATATATATATATATATATATATATATATATATATATATATATATATATATATATATATATATATATATATATATATATATATAGTATATATATATATATATATATAGTATATATATATATATATATATATATATATATATATATATATATATATATATATATATATATATATATATATATATATATATATATATATATATATATATATATATATATATATATATATATATATATATATATATATATATACAAAACGTAATGGAACTAAGACTATGTTTACTATGTAATTCTCGCCTACACAGCGTTTTTTAATAGAGTTTTAAACTTGTATAACGAGTTAGGGTTTCTAATGTCTGGTTCTAGGTTGTTAAAGTCTTTTGATGCTTGGTAGCTTGGTCTTTGTTTTCCCTTGTTTGTGTTCGTCTTTGGGAGGTGGAGGTCGTTTTTTCTTCTCGTGTAATAGCTGTAAATGTCTTCGTTCTTTGCTAATTCAAATTTAAAGTCAATTAAATCATTTAAACATTTATAAATAAATATACATCTATGGTTATGTCTTCTAGTTTTAAGTGTTGTCCATTTTAGTCGTCGTAGTGCTTCCGTTGCAGAATAGCGTGGATGTTCATCTAAGATCAGCTTTGCAGCTTTGTTCTCTAAAGTTTGAAGGGAATCCATCAGCACCGAATTGTTCTTATCACCCCACATGGTATCGGCATAATCAAACAGTGGCAGTATTAGAGACGTATAAAGAATATAACGTGTGTCCAAGTCCAAGAAATCTTTGAGGTGTCGTAGAACACCAAGTCTTTGATTAATTTTGGAGATCGTTTTGTCAATATGCTCGTGCCAAGATAAATCTTCACTAAAAGTAACTCCAAGATATTTCATTGATTTCTCCTGTGATACTTTTTCGTTCTGAATCGTGATGTTTACATTGATAAAAGACTGCTTTCTGTTGGTAAAGATCATGAACTTGGTTTTCTCGTAGTTTAAAGTTAGGAGATTGTTATTTAGCCAGTGTGAAAGTGATTGTAAATCAGCGTTTATTTTAGCTTCAAGCTCCGTTGTTGACTTTGCAGAGTAGTACAATAATGTATCATCAGCATAAAGAATCGACTTACAGTTATTAAGACATTGAGGCAAGTCGTTAATGAATATCAAGAAAAGTAACGGGCCCAATATGCTTCCTTGCGGCACACCAACGGTGACTGACCTTCCACTCGATGTTGAATTGTTGATAGATGTGACTACTGTACGTGATGACAAATAGGACGTGAACCAGTTAATGACAGACTTTGAAAAACCAAGATTTCTTAATTTCAAAATTAGCAGCTCGTGATCTACTGTGTCAAACGCCTTTCGCAAGTCGATAAAAACTGCACCGGTAACCAATTTATTGTCGAGATTGTGCAATATTTCCTCAGTGAGTTGTGTCAAAGCAATGCTTGTGGATAACTTAGGGCGAAAACCAAATTGTTCTGAGGTGATTAGATCATGCTCTTGCAAGTACTCATACACTTGTCTGTGAACTATGCGCTCCATTATTTTACTTACGATTGGTAAAATAGTTATAGGTCTGTAATTATTAGGAGATGTTGGGTCATTGGATTTGAAGAAGGGAATAATCTTGCCTTTTTCCAAATATCTGGGAATGTTTGTGAAACGAACGAGGCATTAATTATCTTTGTTAGACCAGATGCTATAATAGAGGAGGAATCTTTTAGTAACTTTGCGCTGATTTGATCTAGACCGGTGGCTTTATTTGTTTTAAGAGATCCGAGCTCTCGAAGAATGAAGGACTCGTCTACTTCTTTGAACTCGAAACTTTACGGTAGATCAGAGGATAGCGGTTGTTTTTTAAGTTGAAATGTACTCTTAATCTTATCTGCTAGTTTTCTTCCAATAGATGTGAAATACTCGTTTAAAATTGTTGCTATGGATTTTTGGTCAGTGATGGGTTTTTCTTCAGAGATTATACATGACGGGTTTGTACCAGATTTACTGCGAGATGTTAGTTCATTTAATGTTTTCCAAAGTTCAGAGGGATTATCCTTATTAGCGTTCACGGAATCTTGATAGTACTTAGATTTTGCTAGCTTAATTTGGTTGTAATCTTATAATTTCTGAGTTCTCGAAACTTTTTCCAATGATATTCGGAGTTCGTTTTATGTGCTTGTTTCTGGTGGTAATCAAGCTCTCGCATTAATTCTGTAAGTTCCGGTGTGATCCAAGGAGATTTGCTCGTGCATTTAACTCGTCTGGTTTTAATGGGAGCGTGTTTGTCTGCAGTTTCGGAAAATTTATTGCACCAAGTGTTTACTGCGTCATTGATATCAGTTATCGAATCCAAGAATGACCAATCAACGTTCTCAAGATCGCGATTAAACTTTAGTTTATTGTATTGTTTGTAGCAACGATAGTTTATGTCGCGGAAATTTCCACCTGATTTAGCAACACCTGCTTTAATTACACAAAATATCAAGGAATGATCACTGAGATCCAAAGAAAAAACTCCGCTTCCTACCACGCCATGAGCATTGTTTACGAATATAAGATCGATTATAATTGTTTTTGTTTGTGGAAACACCACGTAAATTTATTACTGCAATAAGTAATTTACGTGGTGTTTCCACAAACAAAAACAATTATATTTTATCGCCATGCAAACATTCAAAGAACTTATAAGATCGATTGTTGATTGATTTAATTGCGTTATTCTAGTTGCCGACGTGATGAGCTGTTCGAAAGAAAACGCACGCGCAAGTGTTTGTAGTCGTGATCTGGCCGTTGATCTGGCCGTAAGTACATTATATTTATTGTATATTTGTGATTTATGATAAAAACAATAAATATTTGCATATTTTTATCATCAATTATAAAAATACAAAAATATAATACATTTAGTTAGGTTGCTGTGGTGGCGAACAAACGTTTCGTGAAAATATTCACCCCCTGTCATGCAGTCCACGAGG